TTTATTCACAAACGCTGGCCGGACCTCCAGATTTGCTTTGCCCTCCATGATGTCTACAGGCCACTTAGTAGCAACTGTTCGTTCTAACTCCGCCCTACACTCCTTTGCCTGGTGGGCGCCATACTCGGGGTCCACGGGACGATAATGCCATGTCAAGGCCACTCGTTTCCGCTCGATAAAAGCACCAGGGGTTCGCTCGGTGAAATACTGGAAAATTTCCAGAACGTCCTTCTGCCAGCTCATGTTTGCTTTTGCCGCCAGGTTTGTCCATTCTTCGCTCCGTGGTTTGCGGATGAAACAGCCATGTTCAGCACTAAGGCCAAGTTCGGTAATATGACCCATCCACTCCTCCAAGAAGTCTTGATCGCGACCAGAAATGATCCATACTGCGTTCTTGGGATCAGCAGCGAGAGACTTGAGAGTTCGCAAGACACGGTCTGAAGGAATAGCGGCTTGCGGGTCTTTGACGATGGGGGTAAGGGTACCATCATAGTCAAACATGAATAGTCTGCGACGAGCGGAACGGTGCTGAGAGATGAGTTTGAGTTCGTCCAGTGCTGGGGTGATTATGGACTTGTTGAAGGACGAAAGATTGGCGAGAAGCCGTTTGAGGTACTCATCATACCATTCAACAACAGTATGTGTGGTTACATGCTCGTAGAGGGCAGACTGTTTCTTTGCCTTCTCTTCAGGTGTCATTGTGAGGGCGGTGTTGATAGCGTTAGCAACACCGGTGAGATCCCAGGGGTTGATGTGAATGGCATCTTCAAGAATGCCTGCAGTACCGGAAAACTCAGAGAGGATCAGGGGTCCTTGGTTTTTATGCTGGCAAACCACATACTCAAGGCTAGTGGTATTCATGCCGTCACGCACACTGGTGATCAAGCCAACATCTGCAGCGCGAAGGAGGGCAAAGTACTCATGTCGAGGAAGGTATTGGGGGTAGTATTGGACGGGTGAGAAACTGATCGAGCCGAATCGACCGTTTATAGTCGCAACCAACTGAGATATCTGGCTAGAGAGCTTGTTATCCGGTTCCTCTTTCTGTTCCTCCATGCTCGTAGGGCTAGTAACTTGTATGAGAACCACTTTGCCGCGCCATTGAGGATACCGCTCCAGAAACATCTCAAAGGCCATTAATTTCTGCGTCACTCCTCGGACGGAATCGAGCCGATCACGTCCTACAATTATCTTCTTGTCCGCGTATATCGTTTTAATGTTGAAAATTGTGTTTTCAATATTTGGATCACCATATGCTAGCTTTCGCACTGTTTGGACATCAATTCCAATTGGGAACACGTCCACTGCAACATGAGCACCGTAGGCATCAATTCCACCTTTTGTCGAGCTGAATGCCAGAATACGGGTGCAGCAGGAAGTAAAGTGACGAGAGTAAGTATGGGACTGGAAACCAATCATGTTAGCCCCAAGGGCACCTGTGAGGATATCCTTTCTCTTGGAAAGACATCGTAGGAACTCGCTGCTCGGGAAAGGGACGTGGAGGAAAAATCCGATATAGATATTTGGAACCTTCTGGCGGAGGATGTTTGGAAGCAAGAAAAGATGATAGTCATGGATCCAGACGATGTCTCCTGGTTTATAAGTTTCTAAAATGCGATCCGCAAACATGCTGTTAAGCCGTTGATAGTCTTGCCACCATTGTCTTTCAGATCGGCCATCGGTAGGGCCATGTTGCTTATAGTGAAAAAGGGTATATATCTCTCGTTCGGCGTAACGGCGCCAGCGGCCCTGGTCCTTCAATTGCATCTCTTGGTCCGGAGAGTCGAGTTCGTCACTCAGCCAGACTGGTAGAATGTTTCCAAACTTGCTCGAGGAGACCTGACTCTCGAGCCGACGGCGATCATCGGCTGTTATACGAATACCATCTATAGGTGGAGGCTGAGGCTTCTGGGACGAGTTAACCGGGATCGGAGCCCAGGACTGGTTCGTGGACGAAGCGGTTCTATTATTCTGAAGATGATATGACGAAGTATCTGGCGGATATTGCTGTTCTATTTCGCCGGTCCAGCCAACAAGAGTATGGGACCAATGGGAGTCAGGGGATGCTAGGTTGGCGAACGAGTCAAAGAGCGCCGCAGTCCCAGGTCGGTGTTTAAGCTCCTATGCAAAGAGTCAGCAATTTTCTCTTTCTGTGAAGAAGGCGGATTTACTATACCCATTCTCCGTCATGGTGGATCTGCAACTTGTACGGAATACAAAATGCTGCGCTTATTATCCGCCCTGATAGGCCTAGATCCGGATGCTGGTCAGGTTTGGTTGACGCCGATATCTCCCTCAAAGGTAGGGATATTGATGCGGATCTAGAATCTGTATTCGTCTGAGCATCGGCGGACAAGTTATTCTGAGCGCCGTTGGGGTTAACTCCCACGAGAGAAGGGGTTCTCTGCATAGGAGTATTCACTGAGGCATCCAAAGCCCCAGGTGACATCAGACTCGGCCCAGCCGGAGGGCCTCCGGGGAGGTTTGAAGCCATGAAACGTAAAGGCCGAAGGGTGGTATACTCTTAGAAACAGGCCAATATTCTCCGCGTAAGGTCAGGCGACAGTGAACTTGGTCGGGCGGCTGGGGGGTAGAAATAGGGGAGAAATGGTTGGTTGACGGGCCGAGATGATCTGTTCTACCCGCTACCCGCGTTTGACAAACGCTCAATTGGCAGGCGAGCACGGCAGGAGACCAGAGGATGTGGAGTGCTATACGTATTTAATATCCTCAGTCATAGGAAGTCCATGGGTTGGGAGGTTGCAGGCAAAGCGAGTGGCCAAGCAGGGCGGAAGTGGGCTTTGACAAGGGTTGTTGGCGGCCGATTAGCAGGCTGTCGTCATTCCTGGGTGGTTAGCCTAGATGTGCAACTCCTTAAACCCGACAGACGAGCAGCAGGGCGTTGAAGGGAGCCGATACAAAAGGTCGGCGAGCCTCACGCGACAGGCAGTCGTCCTATATATAAGATAATATAATAATTCACGGGGAATATAAAATAAAAATATTTTGCAAAAATTGTTCGAGAAGTTGAAAAAGGAAAAAAAGGAAGTCTGGATAAAGTTGGCTGCTGACTAAGCGGGCTCCCCGATAAGGGACGATAAGGCCTTTGAAAACCTCAAATTTGACGTCGTCTCGATGGCGGCAAAAGCAACGCGGATGATGACGAGGACGAGACGCCAGCAGGGGAGGGCCAGATGTCGGTTTGCTCGTGCATGGCCTCGGTTCGTGCGCCGCTCCTCGCTGACAATAGTCTGTTCCACACAGCTCGGCCGGTCTTTAGACATAGCAGACGCTTCCATGCCTCGCCGACTCTTGGGAGACACGCTCCCACGCCGAAGATAAACCCAGATAGTCTTACGGAGACCTTGGAAGAGCATAGATTTGCCAACCGGACAGTCGTACGCAGGATTAAAGTGCGAGGGCCCCCGAACTTGTTGCCTGAAAGCTATGGCGGCGATAAACTCAATAAAGTCAGGCGCCGTGGGCCTTTGGAGCCGGAACATCTCATCAGCACGCAACGGGAGTTAATGAAGCTACGGAAGTTGACGAGGGAGCTGGAAAGGCTAAATGAGCGCCATATGAAGAAGCTGTATCCCACGGCCCTGAAATCTCTTCCGCCGAGGGCAGAACATCAAGGTCCTGTACAGTGCAATTGGTTGGAATACATGAATGGACAGGAGTCGAAAGATGGATACACGCGGCTGGGCGATGAACTTCAAGCGTTTGAGCTGTACATGTCTGAAATACATCAAGAGAAGGAAGCTGTGAGGAAGGTTATAGGAGAAATAGAGGAGATATTAAAGCCTATTCGCGGTGATTCCAACCGGAGGCCGATTCTCGTCGGATCACGGTTCACAGGCATGGAAACGCGGAACTCGAACGTCGACCTTATGATTCCCATGGAAGACCCCGATGGTCTGCCCACCAGCGTCCGTGGACCGAGCGTGACTCGTCCCAAAATCACTGCAATACAGATGGGCATTCTGGTTCAATCCGCCCGTCTTCTACGTGCAACCGGAACATTCTCCAGTGTCACTGTTAAGAAGGAACATGTCCCTTTTGTCTCTGCTGTTCATTCAGCTACGGGCCGAAATTCACGGATATACTGTGGTCTCAAACCCCATTCAAGCATGGAATATGTCCTGGGCTATAAGGCCGAGTTCCCTACTTTACGATCATTATACATTGCTCTACGAATGGTTCTGGAGACAAGAGGAATGTTTGGCATGGAAAACCGGACCATCGACGCATACGGGCTTACAATGATGATTGTAGCAGCGCTGAAGTTGGGAGAAGGCAAATTCGGCCGTTCAGACCTCGCAAAGCAATTCTTGCATGTTCTTCGCTTTTATATGGATCTCGATCTCCTTCGTTATGGCATATCCGTGGAACCACCGGCTCTCTTCAGGAAGAGAGCCCATGCTCGGGCTCATGGTACAGAACCACTGCCACATGTTAGGGGACAGAAGAGCATTGCCAAAAGGTCAATCGCCAGAGGTGATAAGATGTTATGTTTACAGGACCCGGCTGATTTCATGAACGATTTGGGCATGTCGAGCTTTGACATGTTGAAGGTGAAAGATGTTTTTGCAAAGGTCTACGATGACATACTGGGGAAAGTAGAAGCATGGGACGGAGAGGCTCAGGCGGGTAAAGAGCTGGTATCTGATGCCAAGGCCGCTCCCGATGTTGAGGCTACAGAGTCGGAAAGACCTAGCCTGTTGAGATATGCCCTAGGGTCGAATTATGACCATCTAGAGGTATTGCGGGATAAAGCCCTGTGTGAATGTTCATGACAGCGGATGCGATATCTCATCTCACTCATATATATAATAGTGGAAAGAAATCTCAAATCAGTCGAAAAGTCAGGGCATATCCCAAAAAGCCCAGTCTATTCCATTCCAAATCCGTATGTATTATTATACAGCCCTCGAATTCAGAGGGATCAATAATTAGAAGATATTTCCGAGAAAACCAGACATCCCCCAGCCTTGAAATGTCTAATCATTTTGTCCAAGCCACTTAGCCAGCCATTTTCGCTCAGCAGCCTCTCTCACGCCTTCCTTAAGACCCATACCAACATCCACACCGCCCCTCTCATCAACGGCCAACCGCACCTCTTCGGCAACCATATTCTCCATCCCACCAGCACTCCTAATCAACTTGTCGTCTGCAGCAAGGTACTCCATCCACCGCTGCAGTCGAGGTCTATACAGGGAGTTGACAATCATTGTCTGCAGGAATTCCGGAACAGACAAAGAATGTCGTTTGCTCAACCCGAACACAACGCTTGATTGCAGGACTTCTTCGGCACTTAGCGCAGATACATCCTTGACTCCACATAGTGAGGACGGGGCAACCACATCCCGCTGACTAGCCGATAGACCCTGCAGCGCAGCAACCTTGTATTCAACTCTCTTACTGCGCTCCTTGATCAAGTGTTTAGGCATCCGGCACGTCATTGGCGTTACCATATTGCCTATCGCAAGTACAACCAAGGGCGTAAATTCACCGCATATAAGCAAGATGAACCCGAATGGAATCATTCTGCGGAGATCATATGCGCTGCGTCGAACGAGCTGGAAATCGCTTCTTGTAAGTGACGAGATGTTTGTTGTACCACTGGCGGAAGACGCGGAGACATCTGTCCATGGCGAGCGTGGTATGTACACTGGTAAACCAAGTTGTTTCCGCAGCGGGATGGAAGCCTTGTAATTGCCGTAAACGTTTTTGAGACCCGTCTTGTAAAAGCGTAGGTACGCCTTGCCCAGAGCGAAGTAATATGAGAATGTGCCTGAAGTCTGCGGGTTGTCTTTTGAAGGAACGTCGAGGAACGCGGGCCGGGTGCTCGCGGGTGCGTTGACGGGGGAGGATATGGATGTTTCTGAGGCGGGTGTGGTGGCGGCGGATGAGGAGGAGGATGTTGGTTTGGAGTTATATGGCGGTGGGAGGTTGAAGCGAGCGGTGCTGGAGCTGAAGGTCCTGCTTGATGGGTAGAGGCATTGGAGATCGATTATGGATGTTTGTGGAGAAGTGTGACTGAGCTTGAAGGAGGCAACAGCCAGATTGCTGCTTCGAGGGAGTGTCGATATCATCGTAATATTGTACGCATAGCACAGAATACGGAAAAAAAAAGGAAGTTGAAAGGAGTGAATGACTGTCAAGGTTCAAGCTGGAGATGAGACGTTCTTAAAAGAAAGGAAAAATTGCTTTCTATTGCAAAAGATTGAAAATGCCGGAAGAAAAATTATGTCCAAAAGATAAAAACGAAAGGCAAGAAAGTTAAAATGCAACAAGTGGGTCTATATGCCAAGCTTTTTCCCGTTCCGTGCGCCATGCTTACTTAATATCAACGTCAAGCAAATCTGTCTATAGTCTATCCCAAGCAAATTGAGCCGAAGAATGAGAGAAAACTGGTTGCGAAGTAGGCGGTCATTAGATGTTAGCATAAATACAAAGCGTAAAAGAAAACACAACAGGAAAGTAAAGAGACAATTGTTGGCTTTGTGGGTTTTTCTTCTTTTTTTGTTATTATTTGGTTTGAAATTTGGTGTTATAGGAGCAAGATTTGGTCCAGTTGACAAAATTGGAGATTTGCGGGGAGTTGGTATTGCCTCGGTTTGCATCTTGCATCAAATCATAGGGTAGGTGTGTAAATGTGTAAAACTACCAACTACCGAGCCAGCTATGGTTGCGTCCGGTTCTCCGCGGTGCTGGATAAGATGATATTTCCCCTAAATAGTTCGAAAAGAGACAGCACATAAATGAGAGAAGAAAAGGCTGAATCCCGCATAGTCCAAGAGAGAAAGGAAATAAAGAAACACCGATCGAATGAATACATAGAACATATCGAAAAGAGATGTTGACGGCTGACGAGAGACGGTCAAAACGGCCCCGTGTGTTAATGCCGAGTGGCCCGAAAAGGCGAAAGTACAAAGGGAACAGAGAGTAATGCAATTTCCAGCTTCCTTTCCCCCCCTAGCGTGGTTCAACGCACACGCCTCCACATTGTTTCCCGTACTCGGGAACACTATGCCAGCGACATCTCCATGTCGGCTTACTTCTTCTGCGAAGCCTTGGCAATCTCAGCATACTCCTCGTCACTGGCGTCGAGGATATCATACTCTTCGTCTGTGAGGAAACTCTCGTCATCCGGACATTCGCTTTCGAGGTTAAGGCTGTTGACTTCTGCCGCCAGGTCAGTAACCTCGACTGCATCAGTATCCTCATTCAGTGTAGAAGCAGAGTCAGAGACATTGTCTGTAACAGCGATCTCATTAGGCTTGGACTGGCATTCGTCCTCATGCATGCTGGTTACAGGAGATTCTTTCTCCAGAGTGGGGAAGACCATCTCTGACTTCTTCTCCGGGGATTCAGTTTCTGGCTCATCGATTTCAAGGTGACACGATAGCTGATGGCCGAAATGAGTTCCTTCCTCGGTCCTCAGACGCCAGTAGGAGATTGCTGTTCCGATCCGAGCAGGGGACTTCATCTCTATGGTGAAATCCATTTTTTGGCCAGGATAGACTGGCTCAGTCAGAGGCTTGCTCTCCATGGCGCTAACCAAGCTGGCCAGGCTAATGGCGTGAGAGGTATCAATGTTAAACATGGGATCGCCACCCTGGTAGCGGACAGCAGAACCGGCAGGCCAGGCATTGGGGCCAATGTTCTGCATTGTCCATGTCTTGGTGAAGCGGACATTTGGAGCAAAGTGCGTGCCGTCTGGAATGGTTTCACCCAGGAAACGGGTGTGAAGACCTTCAGGGTGTAGACCGGAAGTGACCGAATTTGAATCATCTCCAGGATGAGGCAGAGACGAGGCAACAGATTCATACTCTGAAGTCATCGACCCCTGCTGCACGACTGGGGTTTCCTCCTCCTCGACAACCTCCTGTGTCTCGTAAGAGATTTCCTTCTCATTTTCATAGAAGGCATCAAGTGACATCGGGGGATGGACCTGTGTGGCAGCATTGGTGATGAAGGGGGCCGTAGTCTCAGTGGCAGTGGATCTGAAGGCAGGCTCAGGAGCATCCTTGTCACCCAGCCTCTCGAATACCTGACCCTTCTCATCCTCTCCATAAGCAGAGACGGTGACGTGCTTAACTGGAGTCTTAAACTTTAACAACGGATGTGTGCTGTTGTGAGTGCTATTTGGATCGGCTTCACAGGTCTCACAGAAGTCGGTATCGTCACAGACGACACACTTGTAACGGACGCCGGTGATGTACTGGACATTGAATTTGTCGTGGCAGAGGCGGCCATCACAGTACACACCTGGGTGGACCACATGCTGTGAGGCCCGAGGGGGAAGAGGCAAGAACAAAGGTACAAACCTGTGTCCTGGATGGGAGTACTTGACATCACCAACACAGCTAGCACAGACGTCCCAGTTGGGACAGTCAATGCACTTGTATCTCGCGTTGATGATTTGCTAGTAAAACAATGTGAGTAATAATGCACAATAGAAAGTGGGAAAAGGGAGAGGCAATGACGTAATCGAGTAGTATACGTACACAGTCACACATGTCACAGAGAGCTCTATGGATGACAGGCTCGCTTGGCCGGTAGTCGGGATCTCTGATAATCTCGGCTACCTCTGGCTCCTGTGATTTTGGTTGTGACTCAACTTTGGACGTTGCTTCTGGTTCCGGCTTAGATTCCGGTTTGGATTCCTCCTTAGATTCCTCCTTCTCTCCCTCCTCCTCCACTGGCTTGAAGAACTTTGGTCCAACAATCTCGGTGGTGCTGGACACGAGCTGTCCATCATTAAGAGATCGTTTGATAAGCCAGTGAGTACCGGCAGGACAGAGGTTTCCAGCATCAATACACTCCTGGCATAGATCACAGTCACCACCCTCACAGACGGAGCAGTGATAGTGCTCGTTGGGGATGGATGCCTTGCACAGGTTGCAGTCAATCATGATAGAGCAGCTGTACGTAGCCGTAGAGGTATTTGCAGGCAGGATTGGAGGAAGACGACAAACAGATCTGCTGCCCAACATCCTGGTGGCCGAAGGAGATTCTGCGGGACGGTGTTCAAGAACCGTGTCAAGGTAGCTAGAACGAGGGCTGCTGACCTTTTCTGGCAGCGTCTGGCTGGGCTCGGGGAGATGTCCATTCTCGATAGCGAACTCGAATCCAGATTGTGGCTGCTCAGACAACTCCTCAGGCTTGGCCTCCATCCCATGATCGTCGATAAGATTATCAACAATAGTCTCCGCTGGGGTCTCCTCTTCTGGTTCATCATGAGCATCGGTATAGACACGATCGACCTGGATACGCAGCTTCAGCTTGGCCTTGGCGGCTCTGTAAAGCTGTTTGTAACCAGCCGGCTGTTCGCTGTCGAGCGTGAGATATTCCCCAGCACTGTCTGAGTACCTTCGCATGATAATCTCAGTATGAGACGGGATGTTGAGGAACTGGCGGACCTAAAAGGGCGGTTAGCTAGGTTGTTCAGGTAGGATAGTGATAATAGTAGTGCTAGCCAGTATTGCTGGTGTTTGTAGTAGGATGACGATAAGAGGAGAAGCAGCGACATCGGGCCTGTCTTGCAAGATATATACAAGTAAAAACCGAAGTCAAGCCGAAGAGTTGTACTCGTCACTATTTCGGTGGGTGGGATGGATGAAGTAGGTGATGACAAAGCCAGTCAAGAGTTATGGTAGTCCAAAGGCAGAGAGAAGTTGTGAATAAGCTAGTTGAGTGAAAAGTCGAGTTGAGTGAGAAGTCAAGTTGGGTCAAGGAGTGATAGCCGTGGTGCCGTCAAGGTATATATATATATATATGTATATAGACTTGGAAGCAGACGCCGAGGCCAAATCGGAAGTCGATGTCGTGTGTGTTCCACGAAATGCCGAAGCCGCACAACCGGCTGACTAAACTTCCGTTTCGGGACGTGGCGGTGAGCCAGTCCAGGCAGCAAGGTTGACGACGACGAGGAGGACGACGACAGCGAGATATCGAGGAAAAGCGAAGAAAAGGGAGGAAAAGAGAAGAAAAGGGACAGCAATGTATGAAGAGAAGACCCTAATAACTCACTCTCAGGGGAAAAGTAGTGGCCCCCATGTCCCTCAAGGGCACTTTGAAGCGTCTGTTCTCTCCATCAAAGTGAGCCTTGACGGTTATGAGGGTGTCCGGCTTAACCGGTCCGCTGTGAGCTGGAGGCATGGCTGCTGCTCGGGGGGCGGTTTCGATAGCCACCAAGGGCGTATTCGATGGGTGTTGTCGGCGACGGGCTGAACGACGCAGCCTAGAGCAGGCGTTGTCTTTGCGTGTGTCGATGTGCTAGAGTGTAGCTTGGTGATAGCGAATGTAGTGGTTTGGGAGGGGGAGACGTTGCAAGAAGAAAGTCGATAGCGTCACCACCGTTGAAGGAACAGGCAGCAACCGCGGAACCGGCGGTGAGCCAGTCTATATAACCAAAGGAACGCGAGGCCCTGCGTCGACCGTGGATAACCCTAAGTCGACGTCGACAGGTGACTAACTGCTGGCGGTGGTGGTGGTGATAAGTGATAAATGACAAATGATGGACTGGTGAGAGTGACTGGCACTGGAAGAGAAGAAGAAGAAGAAGAAGAAGAAGAGAAGAAGAACGAACGCTGCGAAGGGGGTGAAGCAGGCCAGCCAGCGCGGCGGGAGCGGAAGAGCAGCAGCAGAGACGATGCAGCCCCTGAAAGCGCGTATCCGTAATACAGATACATGCACTTTTGCCCACGCTAGCAGGAAAAAGCAAAGACGCTCTCGTCGCTTTTTCGGGCTGTCGATGATGCTCCAGGCGGCGGTGGTGAAGTTGAAGCTGAAGTTGAGGTTGCGATGTCGAGGTTGCGATGTAGTTGTTGTTGTGTTATTCAAGTGTTATTCGAGTGTTATTGACGGTTGAGTGTTATTGCAGTGCTAGAAGTACTCCGTATGCGATACTCTACAATAATTGACAACAGCAGGCGATCGTGGCCGTATATTTACTTCGACAGCTAAGAGAAGCTAATTACCAGTGGCTACGATGAGGCTTGGGCCGTTGGACATGCCCATCCTGACCGTCGGATCGAAGCCTCTCAGCGGCCTCCACGACTGCGCGCAGGACCAGGGAAGAAGGCGGCCGTCCAGCAGCGAGTCGGAGTCCCTCTCGTCGCCCTTATAAGCAGACACACCCCGGGCATGGGTCTTGTCGAGGCAGCTCGATGCTTATACTTCCCCCGAATGCAGCCTGAAGGACGGGGGAAGTCAGGCACATCTGCAGCAGCACGGCACCACAAACCACACACGATCACCGGAGGAACCCATCCGTTCTGGATAAAGACAGGAGTAAAAAAAAACACGCCAGACTCCTCAGATACTTCGAGGGGGGGAAGCCTTCCCGTCGAAGGGGGGGGGAGGGGAGGGGAGGGGGGGTGATGGTATGCAGCGAGCGAGAGTAAAGGGAAATAACCTCCCGAGACCTTTCATATCACATCACATCATGGCCGTGTGACAGATCTCAGTCCTCGTTGCTCGTCCCTCTGCTGGCTGCTTCTCGTGCCCTCCGTCTATCTGTCTTGGTGGTGGCTAAAATAATCTTATTCAGCGGTGTTGGTTGCTTTTTCCTTTTCACCATTTTTCCCTCTGCGTCTTCCTTCAGCAGTCATCATTCTGGACCATCTCTCTCCCTCTCTCTGCCTCTTCTCCCACTCTCGAAAAGAAACGAGAGAAAAAGAAAGAGAGCGAAGAAACTGTCCCATCCCAAGGGCGGCCCCAAGTGGAGAACAAGGCGTGAAAATGGATCTATAACAAATACACAGTTATTAAATCTTACTTCCTCTCCCTTCAGCATGTTTGCAAGGAGAAACCCTATTGAGCAGCCAATCGAGGAGATCAGAGCTTGGGGGAAGGGAAAAAGCCACTCGAGACAGGAGGCAGACACAGGGGAGAAATAATGGGAGGTAAAGAAAAGAAAAAGACAGACCACAGAACAGAGTCAGAACAGGCGGAAGTCAAGCAGTGTAGTGCAAGCTTAATACTTACCTTACCCAGAACGAACAAGGAAACAGAACAGGCCATGGCCTTGTCGGTCTCGTAACGGCGTGGCCTGGCCTTGCTAGCTGTATCGAAACCGAGCAGAGGAATGGGACGGTGGAGATCCGGGAGGGAAGGGCTTCGCTTCCTCCCTTCCTCCCGCCCATTTTATCTCTATCTTATTTTGCACTCCCTTTTATTTTTTTTTTTTTTTCCTTTTATTTCATTCTTATTCCCTGTCCTTTTTTTCAATTTCCTCTCTCCTCGTTCGTCCATCCGCTGCCGTGGGCCTGGCAACTCGAAGAGACTGCACATCTGGTTGGCTCATTTCGAATATACCGTTGAAACGACTTGAGACACCACACGTTACCTCTTTGTTGCCTGCTGTGGCCCCCCTGTGACTGCTTCTTCTGCTGCTTGTTCTTCTTGACATAAACACGAGAAGGGTTAACAGAGAAGAACTCCGTAAACTCCGTATGTGAAATGAGAGGGATGACCCCTTGAGCTTGCTTTCCCAGTTGCTATTCCTAGCCCGTCAGATTCGCCCTTCATAAGCCACCGCCTGCACCAGCACAGCCAAAGGGGAACCCAGCGCTGCGGCCCCAGTCACATCCTAGCCCCAGAATCAGCCTTTGATGACACGAAAGACAGCAG